TATATATTTATTTATATATATATATATATATGCATACTTATTAAATATATTTATGTATATTTTTATATATTTAAATATAATAAATTTAGTTCTTATTTTTTTCTTGAAACTGAAACCTTTCACTTTATTAAAATATGAGTGACGAGTCGATCTCATATTAAATTGAAACATTAAAGATTAGCATAGACCCCTGCGCAAGGTATATCTGCTAAATAGAAACAAATAAATACGAAAAATAATGAATTATAAATTCAGATAACAATATTTTAAATAAGGAAATTATAAGTTAACAACATATCTTGCATAGGGGCCTTTGCTAAACTTCATTATTTTAATTTTAGTATGAAATAGACTCATCACACAAACTTTAGTAAGGCGAAGATTTAATACTTATATTCATGGTAATTATTTTGTTTAATATCACAGAGCATGCTCATATCGCTACATTTCGGTATGACAGTTTCCTAACCTGTCAAGTTATCAAATTTAACGATTAATATCTCGCTTCACGGGGCAAAGCGACACTTTTTTCGGCCAGATTCTTTCGTTTCGTACAAATACGTGTCGAATAAGCGTAATTTCATCGATCTTTGTGCTGATGTAGCTAAACTAAATAATTATCGATGATTCAATATAGCTTGACTGATAAAGAAATTTTGAACTTCATAAGTAAAGAAGAATTTTGATTGTGAAAATCGTGAAAAACTGCTTTTTTTATTTTTAAAATCGTGATTTTTTAAAATGAACTCCTCGCTTTTTAATTTGATGTATGAGCTTCAACTTGATATTTTCTTCTTTAATTACTATCTACTTTGACACCTAAATTAACTGAAATAAAAAATTAATACTTTACAATTGTTAAATCTCGAATTATTGCTTACGGAGTTCACAAAGTATATACAACTTTTTACTTCTATGTGGAAGCCATACGTCACTTCCTTTTATATTTTAAATTATCTATTTTAAAAATGATGTATCAAACTTTTCAAAGTTATCTTTTGTACGCTCAAAATTGTTTGTGCTATATCCGTATGGATAAGCAAATTTATAGGTTATAAGATATTTAAGTGAGGACTTTTTCAAAAAAGTTACTTGGTCTCACAGACTCAGTGTGATCAATTATATAGCAAAAAATAATGAATCAACTATATAAGAATTATGTAACATAATTGACTTATTAATATAGTTAATGCATTTATTAATTACACTTCATATTACTAGTAATCTCTCAGGAATGCGCAGTTTTCAAATATGTAACATTCTTGTATTAAACTTCTGAGAAGTTCAAAAACGGCATAACGTCAATCAGATGTAATGGCAGAACATGACGTAAAAAGTTTCCGCTTTATTTGGTGCAAGTTAGCCGGATGAGATCTGAAGATCGATACATGCTTCCCCTTCTATATCCAACGATTCTGGCGTATCGGTTGGGTTGATTTGTTCTCCGTCGAAGTAGAACTTTAGTCTACCTTCCTTCTCGCCGAAGTGTGACGCGCAATAAGAGAATAACGCTTGAAATTGTTCATTTTTTTTGAGCGGGAAAGTCAACGACTGCTTTTTATTCGCTGTTTGCACCTTAATATTGTATGCATCATTCTCATTAGCGTCTTTATCCGTATTTGGTCTCATACCTGGATTCACTATGCCGCCATCTACGAATACGATATAATCGTTACACAATATCATCATAGCCATCCTTCGAGATCCGTCATTCGCTTATACTAACCGAGGATATCAACAACTGAAAGTTTGAGCAAAGCGGGCGTATCGTCGAAACTAATGATTTTATCGTTCCTCATGATTAAAACTTCATTCACAGAGACTTTCTCCAAGTCAGCATAATGTTGAAAAATCTTTAAGAAGCTGTCATGCTGCAATGAGAAGGAAAAGGTTTAAAATTACATGTAGGAACATCATCAGTCAGTGATGGTAGAATGCAGATGCGATTCCATTATAACACAAGCGAAGAGACACATACATACACACACGCGCTGCATTTGGGGAACTGCATTATTGCTATTACATCATTCTATTTTTGTTTTATGCACAATGAGCGATAATTCATTTCCCGAAGAGGAGAATAGATAAAAATTCCCTGAACACCGCCAAAGAGAAGCCATGTACATGTGCCACTTATCCCCTTCATCTATTTTATAATGGAACCATGCCTGCATTCTGTCATCGCTGCTACCAATTGCTAGATATAAAACTTTTGTATACATACTCTACGCATACTCAGACGGTCGAGCCTAATAGATCTCCATAATACTTTGACGGTTATCTCGTAATTATCATCTTCGCCATTAGCATCATCATCCGAGGACAAGGCGATAGTATTGTTTGAGGAGAAGGTAACAGTATCATTTTTGTTACATTTGGAAACAGAATTAGGGTTGACCTCTAGTGATACAAATTCCACATTGCAATCTAGATTATTAATAAATGGACGCTAAAAGGATACAAAAAAAATATGCATTTTCTTATACATGAATCATTAATCGTTTATTACATTGCATGTGTGACACTTGTTCTAACAGTTCTGAAGTCATTGGTCGATATATTTAGTTTATGCTAAGTTATGTATATGATAAGAAACTTTACTTTTATGTTGCATTAAAAAAATTAATATAAAAATGCATAAAAAGTTACCCTTCTGGTTGATCTGGTAGTGGTAGCAGGATATTTTGTATATCTACCATTATCTCTAGATTTACCCTTCTTTCTAGTTCTAGATCTTGTCATTGCAGTTTTTTTTTCTATAATACTGTCATCTGGTATAACATGTGGTACAACTTCACAACTAGTACTTGTTATGTTATCATCTTTACCATTTGTTACCACAATGCTGAAAATGATGTTAATGGTACATTTTTCTATTCAGAATAATAAATTATTATGTTTGTAATGATTATAGTTACATGAGTGAAACTTAATGATATTTATATTTTGCAAGATATTATGTATGCAATATCATACCTAGTTGACTTAACAAGCTGTTCATCTTCAAAACGTTTCCTCTTCAATGCTAAAACCACAACATTTTATATTTAATTTCAATTAACCATGTATTCTTCATATTAAAAATACAATTTTCATTATTCTCTTATACTTGTTTCTTACTAAATGTACTCAGAAAAAAAGACGAAGATTTAATACTTACATTTAATACCATGATTTAATACTATGGAGATATATATTTTTGTATGTTTGAATATATTTTATATTTAAATATTATATATTTAGTTTTTATTTTGCTTTCGAAACTGAAATCTTTCACCTTACTAAAGTATGTGTGATGAGTTTATCTTATGCTACAATTGAAACAGTGAAAATTAGCATAGACCACCCTACGCAAGGTATGGCTGCTAAATAGAAACTAATATAAAAAATAATAAAGTAATTATAAATTCAGATAACGATATTTTAAATAAGTCAATTATTAGTAAACAACATACCTTGCGTAGGGGCCTTTGCTAATTTTCACCGTTTTCATTTAAGTATAAAACAGACTCATCGCACATACTTTACTAAGGCGAAGATTTAATATTTATATTTATTTAATACCACGAAGCATACTTATATCGCAACATTTCATCGATATGACAGGTTTCCTAACCTGTCAAGTCGTCGACTTAGACGATTAATAACTCATTTCACGGGACAAAACGACACTTTTTTTCTATCAGATTCTTTCATTTCGTGCAAAAACGCGTCGAATAAGTGCAACTTCATCCATATTTGTGCTGGCGTAGTGAAACTAAATAATTACCGAAAAAAAAAATTTTAATGAAAATATTACCTCTTAAGCGGGCAACTGAACTTGTATATGTATCATCCTCATCTGAAGAATCTATTACTATTTGATTCATTGTAGTCCTCCTGCGTTTAAATGTACGAGTACCTACATAAACAATGCAATCTTATAGATGAATGATAACTTATATCACACTACTATTATATGACAGCAAAATGCACTTCTCATCCAACGATCCTATAAATAAAACAAATAAAAATATAATTCCGCAATTATTACCAGGAAATATTTTATTCAAATATGTCTAAAAAACATTATTGCATATTCATTTAGAAGGCACGATATAAAAGATATAAATTCTATCAATAATGATCTAAGATTACATTTTGAAGATGGATAAGTTGTACAATTCTTTCGCTGCTTTGTTACCCAACAACATTAAAACATAACGTCGGTCTCGTACAAATCCATCGTTTTCAACAAATTTTAGTTTTTCCCACTTCAAACTTAAAACGATTATGAACAAAAATGAACACTGAAAAAGGAAACAGGATTCTATCTACTTCATCAGATTTATTTAGGCACATCCGCATGCGAATATTTTGAGTGCCATCTGCACACATATCTCACAAACAAAACAAATTCCTACAAAATATATTAAAGATCTAAAACCATTATCAGACTACAAATTAGGGATTGAGATTGAGTTGAATTTGGCCAATTGGTACAAAGTTAACTAAACTCAAATTTAGGGAAATTTAGTGAACTTTGCACGGATTGGTCAAATTTCAATTCAATCTCAATTTGCAATTAGTAGTCTGACACGGGCTAAAAAGACATTCTATTTCTTTTAAATACCTTTCAGACATCTTTTTAAGAGGTCTTTTAGAAATTTATTTCGTTTAGAAAAATTAAGAACGTTAAAAATTTATTTTTGTTGGCGATAATCCCAGTCTACAATAGATGCTATAACGCTTAAGAAATTGACCAATCATAGTCGAATGTGAGGAGAATAATTTACTATTTGGTTAAGTTCTTAAGGCTTAGAGCTTAAAGCGTCTATTGTAAACTAGAGGTTTGTTCGTTTTCGAAACTCTTTCTAAACTAGTGTACACCAGTGCAAGGAGTTTACACTAAAGTGTTCGAGAATGACGTCAGCAACGCTGTTCGTTTTCGCAGTGTAATAGCATGTAATGCAACACTGAACTGCCTGCACTTATTCTTGAGGTAGTGTCAGTGCAAGTGTACCAGTGCATGGAAATGTAGCATGGAAGTGTAACCAAAATTTGTACAAAAGTTTGTAGGTCTGTTTTTTTTTCGAAATACTTTCTGCACTAGTGTACACCAGTGTAAGGAGTTTACACTAAAACGTTCTTTTTATCAAGAATGACGTCTTCAACGCTGTTCGTTTTCGCAGTGCAACAGCATGTAGTGCAGGCAGTTCAGTGAACTGTTGCACTGAGTTAGGAGATAGTGTGGTGAGTGCAGTGCATGAAAGTGTAGCTTGGAAGTGCACGTAAACGTAACAGAAATTTATACGAAAAGTCTCTATCAGGTATGTGGCTTGCATTATATTGAAATGTGTGAAACATCTTCTTTATTCCATTTTCAAAAATTGTTAATATTATATCATCACACACACATACACAGCAGTAATGTCCAACATGCAAACAAGGATGAATTTAAGATGTCAAGATATTTTTATGATTTTATATTTATATTATATTTAGTCATTTATTTAAATTTGTGATCGGTAGAGTATATAATATTATAAATTATTAATAAATTTGCTATGTACTAGTGGTTGTACAATCAAAACATATGTTACAGGCATTACAGTCAATTCAAAGGAAGTATTTAGACACAACAGCTCGAATATTGGAAAGTTGTCACAAAACAATTGAGAAATTTGAAACTGATTTCCAAAACGATAGCAATATTAAACTTGAAATACAAAAAGAGATGTTGAAGAAATATAAAAAAAATAAGAATAGCATATGAAGAATGTGCGAAACAACTAACAAAAGGTAATGAAATAAAAGAAGAGAAAAATCGACTGTTGAAGGAAATCTTTGATTTTACAAAATAACAACATAGATATAAGTATTTATGGATTAAAACAGTTTCTAGTATTATTATTAACATTACTTCGCGTTACTAATTTTAGTTTTCAGACTATTACTTTAATGAATGTAATATTTCTCAGTATTAATAGGAAAACTTTGTTTTTTGTTTTGTTCTGAAAAATTTTATTTTGTTCTGAAAAAATGAATATATTTATAAATAATGTTATATATAATAATAAGGCATAATAAACTAAAGTACATATTGTCGCAATGAAATTTTTTTTTGTCATTCGATCCCTTATACATATTATTGTGTAGCAATTGACATAATGCGTCACGTGTATGCATACCATTATCTAATTCTCTTGGCACATACATCATCATCGTCAATATATAAATTTTGTGCTTCGATATCAGGGTTTTCATTATTCATTGGCGGTTCAAACAACTCTAATTCCTGTACATCTGGCATATTGTGCAACACACAGCAAACATATATCACCTGTACTATTCTTATTATGTTTTAGTTTGAAGTGATATAACTGTCGAAATAGTTGTTTAAGACACCCACATTCTCGTTTTCAATGATTACTCGACAAGAACTTAATTTGCGATTAAAAAATCTGCACATGTGTCAAGTACCTATTGTTTCTATATAGTACCATTAATTCCCTCGGATAAGAGTATGTACTATCATCCAATAAGAAATAAGTATCTGTAACAATAATGTTTATAATGGATATCAATTATTATATCCAGGAGCCTTAATTACATTTTTTATCATGTTGTATTTCTTATCTCTACAAAGTTCATGCAGATTATCATATATTGGTGAGTTTCGAAACACTCTTGCATCATGTACAGAACCTGGATATCATACAAAAACATCTATAAATTTCATGTTATGATTAACAATTCCTTGAATGTGCAACAAAAAATATTGTTTATGATTAATATATGAATCAGGACCTTCTATTGGTTTGTCAATTCTGACATGAGAGCCATCAATAGCACCTGGAAACGAAATATCATATATGAGTAATGCGTTGCTATGTAATAAAGAAAATATAAAGTATATAAATGTTAATTTATTACCGATTATACCAGGAAATCCTTTTCTTTCTTCTCCTCAAAAAGTAGCAGTTTCTAGTTTTTCAGCTGTGGTGGGATATTTCACGTAATTAGGCGCAAGAGACATAAAAAATTGTACTCTACTAATAACTTGGTATAAAATACTAATTGTTATCCCAAGTCTGTCTGCTACATCTCTATATGATGCACTTTCGTAACCTACAAACCATAGAAAACATAGAATATGTTTATGAGCCATAACTTTTAAACGTCCTGCCAGATCTGAAATATAATATATACTAAGTTACGAATGTATATATATATATATTTTTTATTTATATATTTATATATTTATATATATAAACGTTGAACGGTATATATACAAATTGATATAGAAGTAAACTATTGTTCTTCCTACTGTCTCATGTTTTATAAAATAAACTCTCTGTCCTATTGCACAATTAAAAATAATAAGTAATGTTGTTATAATACATACTTTCTATCGAAGTAAATAAATCACATAAACTGAATCGATCTATTAGACCATTGCTACTGTTGCGGATCGAGCGAAGTTCGACCGCCGGGTTGCAGCATGATAGGCGAGATGGTCTCGCACGCGCCGGACTCTCGCCGCCGTAACTGCGACTCACGCCGTGAGATGGCGCGCCGTCCGGGTGGTCCGCCCGCGAACGAGTTCGCCCACTGGTGGATATATAAAAGCGCTCCGTAACAGCGCTCGAATAGACCGTTCTCGCCTACCATAGCACTCAGGTCGGCAGAACGGTGAGTACGCGCTTAGCGTGATTTTTTCGAGTGTGTGTTTTTCGGATATTGTATACGGGTCGCGTTTTAGTAGTAGAAGTGGTAGTGAATTTTTTTTACCCTTCAGTAAACCTCATGGTGCCGGAACGTCGTTCCGCACATTCGTAGCCCTTGAGCGTCACAAAATCTTCCGAAGCGGAAAAAAAAGGGACCGGAAGAATTCGTTCGCGGAACAGCAACTCGCCGGAACGTTAATCGGAATTCAGGGTCGAACAATTAATAATAGCTCGACGTGCGCGATCGTCCACGTGGACATACGCCTTTCGGGAACGGGTAGAACCCACCCGTCGTCCCCCCACGAGCAGCTCCGAGCCAGGGCGACCATTCTTCGGCAGCGCTCGGTTGCGGATCCACCGTTCACCTACGAAATCGGTGTTATCGCGAAACTTGGCGCAACTCTCGTCTCTCGGGGGTAATCCGGGGTTGAGATTTTCTGGAGCGGCGCCCCCCGGGGAAGCCTTCTTCGTGAGGCACTGGAGGAGGAGAAGGAGTCCATTTTTCGGAGAAGTTCGCTCAATAAAATCCAACTTCCATCGTTCGGCATCGTGGGTCTTTAATACCCAGAGCGTCGCGTCAGCTATACACAACACCGACTTCTCCATCGTCCGGCATAGTAGATCACGGGGGAGGGACCCTGTTCAGTCATAACAACAGCCAATCATCGTCAGCAACGTGGGTCGCTGACGGAGGCTCGCGTAAAACACACTAAGAAGACGGAACCACACCACCTGCCCCGACGGCAAGGCGGGTCGTACGAGAAGGACCTCTAACGCCTCGGCACAGCACATCACCGGCCAGGTGGGGTCGCTGACGGGACACAACCCCCTCGGTCCGACGAGGCACTCTCCACTCAGCGTTTCTGGACAGGGAAATCCTCTCCGCAGCGCAGCACCGTGCATGTATCCAGAGGGTCCCGGAAGGGCCTTTAGGTGACAACAAAGCATATATCAGAAGCGTGTATGTCTCCACTCCGCCTGGAAGGATGGCGGGAACCCGGCGGCAAGCAGCCCGAAATTGTCCCAGTCGACTCGGGACAGACCCCAGCCCCCGGACCCTTTGCCCGAAGGGCGCTGGACACGGCCACCTCGATATAGAAGTGATCACTAGCGGATTCCGTGTCCAGCACCCTCCAGTCCGTCACTAAACGGGCGGCAGGGGAGTCGCCCATGTGAGATCCACAATGGACTCCCCCTGCCACCGTACACAGGTGCTCTGCCTACCCGTATTGAGGAGACAGAGCCTCAAGCTAGCCGCCCACGCCCCCACCACCAGCTCCCCCGACGGTCGTCGCGCCGGGAACCCCCATGCACCACGTGACCAGGCGTTTTGAAGTCCCCGGCGACGACGACTGGGCCCGGGGAGAGCAACTCCGAACAACCCCCGCAATGCGATATAGAACCTTCGCCCCTTCCAGGGCCATGCTTCACGATGGTGGGAGGTAAACTCCCACCACCGCGACCCGGCCCATCCTGACCGTCACGTAGAGTTCCCCCGTCTCTATTGGAGAGCACGTGGGAAAACGGGCCCTGCCTGCCCCCTTCACGTGGCGGCCGCCAACCCCCCGGATCCCCCGAACGGACCCAATTAGGGACGTCCGGGAGAAC